GAGAAACGAACGTGGCTATGGAACTTGCTTCTGGACGATGAACGAGAACGCATGCACATCGAGACCTTGGACGCAGTGTGCGAAGACATGAAATCGTTGACTACTCTGGATGTTGCTAATACTATGCGATGCGAACAATATGTTAAGAATTGCGCGTTACAAAATGTATTTAAAATGTATAACTGGTGATTGCACAAGAATTTTTAAATAAAAAAAAACGTTAACGTATTGATTATGTATTTCTTTCTCTTTCATTGTAATACATGTACAAACGTGTACGTATGAACTAAAATGTATAACTGGTGATTGCACAAGAATTTTTAAATAAAAAAAAACGTTAACGTATTGATTATGTATTTCTTTTCTCTTTCATTGTAATACATGTATTAACGTGTACGTATAAACGTGTACGTATAAACGTGTATGTACGAATGTGTACGTACGAACGTGTACGTATGTATATACATTGTATATAAGTAGTGTATAAGGTTTTTTTCGTTCAATCGATTACGAGCGTTAAGACATGGATCGAATAAGAGACTACCTACATCGAAAATCGGTCGAGCGAAAGGGGTACCGTCTCTTGTCGCAAGGTCCGCCAAGTCCACCGCCGAAGAAGGAGGAGGAAGTGAGATATTGGGAATGCCCTGTGGAAAAAACATCAAAGTCGGCATCGAAGGAAGAAACGAGATATTGGGAATATCCTGGGGAAAAAGCATCATCGTCATCATCGAAGGAAGAAACGAGATATTGGGAATATCCTGGGGAAAAAGCATCATCGTCATCATCGAAGGAAGAAACGAGATATTGGGAATATCCTGGGGAAAAAGCATCATCGTCATCATCGAAATATAAATCATAAACATTGACAAACTCGCAAACAAAGGAAATACGTAGAAAAAACCGCGATAAACCGTGTCGCGACATGTTCGCAATTCTTGGAAAAAAGGGAGAGGTTACCCCATCTTCAATTCTAAAAGTTTTATCATATACGCCGCAATTTACGCGGGTACAATCAGTCTTGCGATATCCACTTGTACGGACGGTCGACAAAATATACTTATTAGTGCCAGCCTGCGTGATCTCTCGAAAGAGCTTCTCTTTTTTCGAGCCGAACAAGCTGAAAACCATCTGCCGAAAACCATCATGAGCAACCTGAGAGAAGTGTTACATATCCAATATGAGTATCCGGTTGAGGGGGTAAGTAGTTTTTTGTGTATGTCAGATTTTTACTATGTATAAACATATTCGGACCTATGATAGCTAGATCTTTTTTGCCTAAATAATTCCCAGTGATTTATCCTATATCCTATTTTTGTAGTTATTCAACTGTGCGTTGAAATTTTTTGAATTTTATTTAACGCAATTAAACTGTTGCAATAATATCACAAGTTAAATTAAATTGACAATGTGTTGAAAACCTTAAATAAATTTATTGCTAGATTTTTTTATTTAAAAATTTTTTTAATTTATAACATTTTTTTTTCCCTCCTCAGTATGTCGTCGTTGATAACCAGAGAATCGCACGGTTACAGCTTGCGAACGAGGTTGGGATCCTCAAAATCCCATTGGTAAGATTATAAATTATAAATTATACATTATACATTCTGATTCTATTTTTTAATTCTATTTTTTAATTCTATTTGTTCTTTTTTTCCAGTAGACGCATCGCAGCAAAGTCCACATTCGTGGCTTCATAAACATATATAATTGGGTAACAATACATGCTGAGAGGGAGAGGGAACAGCTGTTCAGATATTATTACACGGATGTATGGGACGATACCAGTCTTTATTTGGAACAACTATTTGATCTCCGGCCGTACGAGTCGGATGAACCAGAAGAGTGGTGATGTAAGTATCCTAAATTTATTTGTGAATTTCTCTTCTTATATATTGCGTGCTAATGTAATGCTTTTTTTTTTGTTTTACAGAAAGCTACAGCGGCGGCGGCTGCGGCGGCGGCGGTGACAACGGTGATGGCGGCGGTGGCGACCACAAACACATTTTTTCGGGTATTTATATAAACACCCGATAACGTTGGGACCTTCCAGCGCTTCCCCCCTCCTGCCTCGCGACATTAGGCACGCCTTCCCCGCGCGCCATCAAGTACCCCCGCGCCCCGCACTCCCCTCTGGCCCCCATGGACCAGAACCCTCCTAGTATTACTACTGTAGTGTTACGTCCAATGGACTCCCACAATTCTTTCTTTCGTGGAGATCTGGAGTTTGTCGAATCATAAGAGGCAGTTACGAGTAACGGACAAAACTCAACTGCTAAAGCTTAGAAAGCAATAAAATTTCCTTTTCACACGAAAAATTAAGTGAAGAATCCAGTATCTCCTCGTAACTGTCACTTATAAAAAAGAAATAGAATTCATGCACGTATACAGACGGCGGTTCACAATTTCTTTTCAATGGAATATCTAATAAATTCTGCAAATTTATTAATGACCTGTCTCATAAAGTTACTGTATTATAACATCAATAAGCTAAATCAATTTATCAAAGTACACAAAAATCCTCTTTCAAAATTTTCCAAAAGAAATGTGGTTTATAAGATCGAATGTCGTGATTGCGATGCGTCCTATGTCGGCCAGACGGAAAGAAAACTTAAGACGAGATTATCAGAACACCGGAATCATGTACGTAGAAATACATCCACTCGTTCAGTTATCACGGAACATAGAGTACGTTGCAATCATGACTTCGACTGGATAATGCGAGAATTTTGGATATTGAGAGATATTATAACAAACGATTAATTTCGGAGATGCTGTATATAAATCGTCAATCCAATGGTCTTAATATGCAAACGGACACAGAGGCGTTAATAATAACCATATTAATAATAATCACAAATACGTAGAAATTTTCAATAAGTTGTAATATGTTCATTTTTCTAATTGACCGACACGTAACTTTACTCGTTATCCAGCTCTTGATGTTTTAAACGATTATTATTTGACTAACTTCCGAACCAATACGACTCTCTTTTCTTGTTCTTAATTTTTAATTAATTTTAATCTGACTTCGACTAATTTTAATCTAACTTTGTAAATTAATATGTTTTGATTGGATTGATGTTTGGATCTGCGTGCGATTGGATATGGAGTGAGTTTTGCCATCATACATAAAAAATTAATTTTCTATCCTTTCTAATTTTTAAATTTTTGCAATTAATAGCTTGAGATTCACTACCCGCTTCACTCAGCTTTGTAACACTAACTCATTTAAGCACTTTTTGGCACAACATTAGAGAATGTTGAGTATGGTCGTTTCTCACATTTCCATTGCAACTACATAATGGAAA